GAGAAAAGCATATTTTGTCATGACATCTTTTCCTGGAGCATTACCACAGATGTGCTCTGACAATAATGAAGAGAAATCCTTCTGCCTTTGCTTTTACTCCTGTATGGGGAATTGTCAGCCTCCAGTGACTGAAATCCCTACTACACAGAACATCAGGACCCTCTTCCCATATTCCTAACATTTTCACCTTTATGTTGCTACAGTGTTAGGGAATGGTCCTGCAAATTCTCGACCTTTCAATCCTCTGAGTTTTGCACATTGAAGTGCTAATCTTCATCAGTTAAAGTGCCTTCTCAACACACTTTACCAGCCCTGGCAAGAGAAAAGCTGGGTGCTTATTCCTTCTAGTGCTATTGCAAAGGTGTTAAATGCCTCCAACTGGAATGTGTCATGTGTGGTCTGCTGCACAGTGGATGGCAACACTAGAAATGACTGAGAAAACCAAGACTGCCTAAAGATTCTCAGAAAATCAGAGACAAGTGGATAATATTTCAAAGAAGCGGATCATAGTTTAGAGAAGATATTTTTGTCTCATAACTAAGAATATGTTTTTTCACCTCAAATAAAAGTATCATATCTTCCTAAAGATGTGTCCTTTTCTTGAAGTAGAAAGGAAACAGGCCCAGTGACCAAACCTATGGTCAGCTGAAGGACTGGCTGTGCCCGCAGTAAGCTAAGCTCTTAGCTTCGCTGTGTTTTCTGATCATCAGAAGTGCAATCAGGCAAAATGAAGCTATAATAAGACGATACGAGAACCTGATAATAGCTTGATAATAGGTCTGCTGATTAAATACACACTCTGAACAACGAAACTGATGTGCACTTTAATGTCTAACTCACTGTTGGAGCAGGCAATCTTATTTGTCTTTGGATATGGAGGTAAGGGGGCATGTTTTACACAGGTCCACAGCTTGACAGTGTTGTTACTCAGCTTAGACAGTTTCCATGCAGAGTCACAAAAATAAAACTACAAAGGCAGGGGTCAAGCATAACGTTGATCGCTTTGAATGACAGATAAGTCTCAGTTTTCCCTAAGCAAGGTTGCCTGTCTCCATGATGATACAAAGATGCACTCGAGAGCAATTAGCAGAAATAACTGGGAATGAACTCTTAGCTGTGTGCTGTGACATGCGGTTCAGTAACGCAGATGAATTCTCCTCTCCATCACCCTGCCCAGCTCTGCTGACTTCAGCATGAGGTAAGCTTTGGACAGGACCAGGGATGGACAGTGCAGCCTGGGAAGGCAGTGATGAGAACAGGCAGGCGCCAGTTGCAGAAAATAAACTATTTTCCTCTTTGAAGTTGGCTGGTACTTTGCCTCCGTGTTTTACTGCATACTGTGAGTGAATTTCAGAAGTAACTGATCACGGTGGGCATAGCAGCGAGACATATGTGAAACTGCCCGAAGAGTCAGGAAGAAGGCTTACACACTGAAAGATCCCAATCATCCCAGATGACAGGGATTTTTGCTGTCTGGCCTCTCAATGTTCATATACTTGTACTATGCAGAAAAAGCATTTCCATTATAAACTGATACAGAATGCTGAAAATATCAAAGCCTCTGCCATTTTGGGTCACATGGAAAGTTTTCATCCACAACACATTTATGACAGCAGGACAAGAGAGAGGATGAGGGGAAGGGGCATATCCTAGAACTGCTTGAATTGGTTTTCTGTTTGTTTATTTTAAAGCAGCAGCACTGTGAAATTAATGATTTTTCCCATAAATTTCTGGACTCACTTAGGTTCTTTGGTGATATAATATTTTATAACACCAATGAAAAAGAAAATTAATGTTCTATACTTCTGATAAAGTATAACAACAAAATATTAGCAATGAAAGACAAATTCAGCCTACTGCTGATGTTCTCCATGGTTTTGTTGAAATTAGAAGTTTTCCACCAAGACAACCTCTCAATCTCCTGTACAGCAGTATTACAGAAAACCAAGTGTTGCTCATGAACATCTTCTTCCTTCTTGCCAGTCAGCAGCGATAATGGTGGAAATATAAAGACAACCAGCTGCAGTTTATGCTACTCCCACACACATACACTTTTTGAGCAAAAGCTGCAAGAATGGCTCAGTAATAAATTACACTGTATTCTGAACCTGCACTCTTAAAGAGAGCTGCAGGCATAACAGGATGCAACAATGCAACAATGAAGAGGCAGCATTTTGCTATTTAGAAATGTAGGAAGAAACACAAAAACCCCCTCCAAGATTACTCACAAACTTTGTCTTGTTCAACAATAGGTCTAATTTGGCTAGTTCAGAGCATGTTACATGGAATGGCTCTTAGGGAGGACTACAAATTCCCCCTCTGGTGAGGAAGAGTATTCCAAGTGTAGCACTTGTTTACCGATCCATATCCTGTCTTCACTGGCTATGAATATCATTATCTATTTGATGTAAGAATTTTCTGCACTTAATTGAAAGCTACACTAACTACCATTTATTTGAACCATACAGTCAATAGCACAGTCAGGACCTAAGTGTAGCTTGTTATGTCTTTTTCAATAGTTCATTAAAGGGAGGGAAACTTTGTGATGGCCCAGGCCTCCCCTTGGAGTAAGTTGTTTGTTGAAAATAACTCAGATATGAGGATTTCACTTTCTTGTTTCTATTAATTGAAAATATTATTGAAACAATACTGCAACTAGGTGTGCATAGATTATTTTTGGAGTGGATCTAGAACTGATAATTTTCTTATATGCAAATAGCATTGCCCATTTGACATTTCAACTATAGAAAGGACAATCATTTTGGATATCTCTCTCAGCAAACTTCGAAGAGTTTATAACCAACTGCTCTATATAATCTTTGCCTCAAACACAGGATTGTCTCTTCCACAAATTGTTAGTACTTGATACAGGAAAATTTTAGCTCTTTGTCATTTTCAATGACTAAATTAATCTTTTCCATGTGGGTAAGGATACTCTCCTGAACTTTATTGACTTTCCTGTGCTGGCATTTTGCTGATTCTGCTCATGCTACATTAGCAGCAACACTGAGTCAGCCTCCCTTTTGCAAAATTATGTCATTAAACCTCTTCCTTCAGCAGGGGGTCTTTATTGAAAAAATGACGCCTCTTTTTCAAAGCCAAGGAGGAAACAATACTAAGTCAGATTTTGTTCTGTGTGATGTTACACTCCCAAGCATTCGAGGTACTGTGCTATTAAAACAAATTGCATTCCAGAGTCATCGAACATTTTTCCCCTCTTCCTTAAGTATGACCTTAATTTGAGCTAGAGAGTGTTCCGGGCTGATTGAACTCCAGCTGAGAGCTTTCCCAGCAGCCCGAGAGGTGCTGCTTGTGACTCTAGAGCTGCCACAAAGCAGCTACACTGAGCAGAACACTGATAGCAACCAGGGCACGATGTCTGGGAATGCCTGTGCAAGTCCATGCTCCAGAATAATTTAAATATCTGATTTAACTATAACATGAAGGGGTTTCATTTCGACTTATTTGCACTATCAATTTAGACCTTACTTTTATTGCTTGTGTTAAAAATTATTTCCCTAATGAAAAGTAGTTTATTATTGATTGGTGTCCCTGAGGATGCTTTGACTTCCTGCTTTATATAGATTTAACCTTAAATTTGGTCCTGATACCCAGGAGTGTGAAATTCTGTGTTATGCGATCCATTCTAAATTGTTTAATTTAGAACATGGTACATGTCGTCAGATTCATATTTGTTATTAGTAGATCTGTTTTGTTTTGGTATTTTTTAAACATTAGCACTGTAGAAAATAAAAAAAATAGAGCCTGTAGGAAATCTGGATTTTGAGAAAATAATTTTTTTTTAGCTAGTAAAAAAAAGAAGTAAGTCTTGTAAGAAAAACCAAAATGTGTTTTGTGTTTACATTTTCCTCGCTCAAAAAAAGAAATTATGCAGATGCTGGCTTGAGCTGATTATTCACCATGGCCTTTAAGATCTTAAAGGTAGCTAATATGAGCTTCTCACACTAGTTTTCACTCACAGACCAGAAGAAGACACAAGTTTACTGCATTTTATCTTTAAATGCTTCTCTAAAGAAATTTAACTAACTGTAATTAAAAAATTCCAATCACATATACTTTTATAGCAGATGTATGAAATATGCTTCATCAGTCTCATGTGAACCTATTTAAGAGCCTAGATTGCTGTTTAATTTAATTTTTAAAGTGTGAAAGATTAAAATAAATTTTGGTATTAATATGGCCTATGTATACTCAAGTTTGCATCTTTAGAAATGCCTAGAGTAAAATTTTTGTAGACACCTCTAGTTTTTAACATGGTTGTTTTTGGCTTCAGACAAAAACCTCTTCAGCAATGTAGGCCACCATGAAGATGAATATCTTGGCCCTGCAAGGAGCTCACTTGCCCATTCACCACCTTTCCACTCTTTATCTTACTGACAATTTCATTTGCTGCTGTTGGAAATACATGGCTGCACATGACCACAGTGAGAACGATAAAGAAAAAGGAGTATTCCTGTCATGGCTTTTCCAGCAAAACAGCGTTTCCATGTGCCACCCCACTATACCAGGCTACCAGGTAAATCACTTGGCAAAGCTTCTCAGGCACGTGCCCTCCTCATGCTCACAAGCTGCTCACAGGCAGCACTCTTTGTAGGGGAGCCTGAGAAGAAGAGAATAGAATGTGCAAGGGAAGATGTGTGGGAGTCTGACTGGCAGTGAGGAAGGACAGAGCATTGGTTTGACACCATCTTCCATGAGCTGCCAGGATTATTTAACCAAACTTTTTGAGAGATTCACTTTTGTTGAAAATTGTCCTAATCGTAACTGTGGCACCAGACTTGTAGCTATTTCAAAAGAATGTGAAAGCCAAGAGAATACAGTTTACACCAATGGGGTCTACTGTGCAAAACTACGCCCAGCATGACAGCATCCTTGCAGCTGAAGATAGGATGTACTCCACTGAGTGTGGGGTCCATCAAGAATTATGGACAGCCCAGATCCCTGTGCCTCCCACCAGGCCACACTGAGAGGAGACTTACCCCTGCATCCTCCTTGGCTTCAGAACTTTCACAGGAGTATGGTCCCGATGGGTCCCTCAGCAGCATAGCCAATCCTCCTGCACCTACAAAACCAAAGACATTTATTGTTCATGGGAGAATATGCATGGCTGAGAGGTTTTTTTGTTCTGATTGGATCCATTTCTACCCACCATGCTCTGTCACCAACCTGCTCTTTTGTCATTGTTGTTAAAGAACATAGAAAGGCTCCAAAACCATGGCTGACAAATATCTTTGCCAGTTGTAGACAGCTCTGTGTGCTGCGTAGAGGCGGCTGGCTCTTTGGGGAAATTGCAGTGGGTGGTTAGTGTTGACGCAGTGTGCCATGGCTTAGGAAGAACATACTGCATTTCAGACTGCTCAGTAGCCATCCCTGTCCCTAGGGTGGTTCCCAGTGGCAGAGCTGCCCTGGTTCCTCATGGGATGGTGGGATGGCCTTTGTCACCCCCCAGCAGCTCCCTAGACACTCCCTGTTCACCCATGTTGCTGTGCTGAAGGTGTGCCTGGGGTCACACCCTCTATGAGCTTGTCCTGTCTCTAGAAGAAGCCAGAGGACTCTTCATCACTTCTGTGCATCCAAAGGGCAGGGAAAATAAGAGCATCTGGACCCCTAACTAAGGTTATGTATTATTAGAGAATGCTGTTTTGTCATGCAGGCAGTAGTTACCACTGCTTATTGGGTCATGTCAGGCCACAAGCACAGCTTACAGGGCATGGTGTGAGCAGCCTGTCTGCTACAACCTCTGCACTTTTATTCCTGTATCAAGCTTAGGCCTTAAAGAAGGCAAGAACATATCCACTGATCTCACTTTCATGGACAATCTTGTTTAAGCACAGACAGCTGCTCGATTGCTTTCAGAATTTCCATAACAATGGCAATAATTAAATAATGTTGAGTTAGAGTCAGATTAAATCAGTGAATATGTTCCAAGTTGTGAAATTAAATTATAGGGGTTACATGATCTCCTCCATAGAGAAGCAAGATGCATAAGGATTTGTGTATCTCCAGTAGCTCTGCTGAAGGTACACATTCACACTGGGAGCACACTGAATAAAGTTCCTTATGCTACCACACCACAGTGCATGCCTACTAAATTTGAAATAGGTCTCTCATGTAATAATACATCTTGAAATGGCTCTGAAGCTCTTGGTTAATACAAGGATAGTTATTCATGCCCTCTGCTGCTACTTGAGTCTATAATCTTGAGCGTATCTCTTCAACTCACTCCTGTTTATGTATGTACCACCATTGTGTTATGATTATTTATGCAAAAAGGATCTGTGTTTCAGAGATACCCTTTTCATGTTTTGCTCCAGTGGACAGTGGCACATGCTAACAGTGTTAGCTTGAGCTGCAGTTGAGAGAGACTTTCACTACAGGGCCTGCATCTTTTCTTCTAACAATATTGGCAGGTTGCAGCTTCATTTAGACTTCTTTTGCTTTGGGAGAAGAATATTTAATAGTGCCAGTGGGTCTTATGTGCCCATAAAAATCCTGAAAATGCTTTTAACTTTTCCAGCACAGGTTCTCTGGAGCTGGTCCTTCCTCTTCCTACCTGCTGAGCAATGCTGTCCTTGTAGTCCACAGAGCCAATAGATAGCCCTCAGGAAGCCTTGAGAATTGCATTAGAACCAATGTGAGAAGTAATGGAATTGAGACCTTTTTTCTTGTGTTCTCCACACTCTGAAACAGTCTACAAAGTCAGAACTCTAGTCCTGTGACTTTACTACGGGATTAATCCCTTTTTTGCATTCATCTCTATGCTCTATGGTGTTCCCATATAGCATTGCTGCTTTGGAAGTAATGTTGCAGAAAAAACAACTAGTTTATTCTGCTGTGAGGTTTTTTTTTTCTGTGTTTTTTTAATCTTTCCAGCTGTCTTTGATAGCTTTATTCATGCTAATCTCAGGCAGAAAGATTCCTTCTTTTTATATAACTGTATATAACATTTCAGCATAATGGGTCTTTTGTTGTCTACTGATATCTATACGCTCTCTTGCTTTCCAAAACCGGATGTGAAAGAGATCTGTGAACCTTTTTTTATTATTTCACTAGAACTTCCCTTCATACCCTAGCTACTGTGTGTCTTTTTCTGCAATGTATTTGGAACTGTGAAGCCTTTGCATGTTATCCTTGAATGGATGCCTCTGCATTACGTTGTAGCTGTCGGACTGGATCAGAGGATAGGAGCACTTGGTGCTGAAATATCCAAATCTATATTATAAATACTTCCAGAATTTAATGTCAGGCTAGATTTAGTCCAATTTCTTGGAGTGAATGTTACCATACTGTCATAAGGAATACTACTTGATTTGAATATTTATGTTTATGCTATGGTTTGGGAAGTGGTCCGTGTGACCCTGCAGCAGAGCTTCTGGTTTGGTTTCCTCCAAAAGCACTCTTGCATGCAACTCAACAGTGCATCTGTAGTGTGAATCACTCCACATCTGAATCAACTGCAAATGTGGTAGAGGAGAGAGAGATGAGTTCACTAAAAACCATACTACTGCTCTCTGATGAAATGCTGATGTCTGTGCAGCCTAAGCCCAGCAAGAAAGTGTAGCCTGGTGACTGGGACACTCAGTGGAAATGTGGGTCACCTAATTTCACACTTGTGCCACAACTAGCATTCTGCATACCCTTTGGAAGGCACTGGTATTGTCTTAAGATCTCCACTTGTAAGATATATTCCCCATTGATGTGGCAACACTTGAAAGATTAAGGAGAGAGTATTACAGTGATTAAAAATGTACCTTTCTAGAAAAAGGTCATGGAAGTCTGAGGCCTAGAAATTAACATGCATAAGGAAATTATATATTTTCTACACACCTCACAAAATAAATAAGTATCATGAGTAGACTTCATCCCCCACTGTTTTTAGTGACAGGCCATATGTGCTATAGCATTGACCTCAGACTTGATTTACATTAAGGACATGGCAACTTCATGTTGCCATAATCACCCTTGGATTAAAAAAAAATATCCAAGCATGTTCACATTCATGGACATTTTATAAAGGCCTAGATAGTACCAGCTCCTGCTGCCATTATCACAGCTAAGTTTCTACATTTATAATCATCTGTACAGCAGTGATGAAGTAACTCAAGCAGAACAGCTGCAGGGCAGCTCCATCAGCACTCTTGGGGCTCAGTGGCTTTTCATCCATCTCTGTGCATGCTAGCTCCACGTCTATGCAGCACTGTGCTGACTTCTTTGTTTCCTTTTATTTGCTGTTCATTTCAACTGTGAATAGGGTTTGATAGATGACAGGAGGTTTGCAATAAAGAGGGACAAATAATATTACAGGAATGAAGCTGAGCTAAATTTTTTTCCTTAAGAGACATATACATGCAGATTTGGGAGAGAAATCAAGGTACAGATAATTAGAATGACTTTGGGCTCTCATCAGCATCAGCTAGTAGAGAAAGGAACAGATATTGTCAAGACAGGAAGGACGAAATTTGAGTAAAAGTCCAGTAGTTCCTGGTGATTTATTTGGCAGTGAATGTGCAAAATGTGGATGGAAAAGAAAGGTACTGATGAGGAATCTGGAAAACTGCTGTGCACACCTACTCATTGCTCTCAACAAACAAGGGAAGATTTTATCTGCCTGTTCCTGAATCACAGTTCTTCATGGTTAGCACTGTGACCACAGGGAAGCACCTCTGATTGGGCTGGCTTTGGCCTGTGGGCACCACACTCATCTCAAGGGTCCTTGCTCCAGCAGTCCCAGTCTCCCAAACACTTTGAGTTCCTGTTCTACTTCCACAGAAGCTAGACAGAGAAGGGAAACTTAAAGGTGCAATTCAGCTATTAAAGTATGTAAACTCTCTGCAGTGACCCAAAACTCCTTTAGAAAACCCAGGATCTACAGATCTTAGGATCTCAGTTTTGATATTTGTTTTAGCAACAGAGAGCTCCATGTTTTCAGCATATGGACTCCATTGCTGTGCTGTTAAGCTGTCAGGAAACAACTCCAAGCCTGCGCCATACAGCCATTAACATTGGTGCAGTCTCTATCAATCCAAAATCTGGCAGCCTACATCCTCTTGTCAAAGAAATTAGTTCAGTAAAGGAGCAGGTTGTAGTGCAAGAGAAGATGAATCAGAGAACAATTTAGTGCAAATATGTGTCTCCTCTGAGGAAAAGGCAGATAAAGTACTTAAGAGGACTCACCAGGAAAACTAAATCAACCTTTCTTCAGTTCTCCCACGATAGTAATTTTTGTCTGACCAAATCAGTTGTCTGCCAGAATGCAGATGGATCAGTTTATTCTTTTTCACTGAGACTGTTTGTTTGTGGAGAACACTTCTAGTCCTTTTCAAAGCCAAGGAACATTGCATACGTGTCCCAAAAGCACAAAGTATTACTCCTAGATTGTTCCTTTCTCCCTTCTGCAGGGTGCTTGTATCCCTGATCTCTTGGCCAGTCTGCTGCTCACCAGCGTGCCTCCTGCCCTGTTCAGACTGGAAGGGAGCAGGTCAGCTCAAACCACATAAATCCTGGATCATCATTTAACTTGGTCTTGAACAGGCCAAGGAGGGAATTTATTACAGAAACTATTTTCACTTGAGTTGGATCACAGGAATTCCTGCTGTGTCTCAGTCTGCTTTCTTTCAGCTACCCAGGACTTGTCATTGAAAGGAAAGATTGACTATGTCCTCATGTTAATGTCTTGGCAGTGCCAAGCTCAGCCAGCAGGCAGATGCCATGTTACACTACACAGTAGAGTTTGTCACCAGTGGTTCCTGTGATTAATAGAAGGTCTTTAGAAAAATAAAATCCTTAAAGAAGGAGAGGGAGGAAAAAAAGGACGCAGTCTAGGAAAAACCTTCTAGCAAAACTGCTGACACATTTATTTATTAAACCACTAAAAGGCTTGGTGGTTTCCTGGTGTTCAGACTGGGAGAGATCACATAGCAGCAGGAAGATAAAGGCATAACTTCAGTGGCAAAGTAAACCACTCATTTATCTGTTTTTTTGCACTTTAATGATACGCTGAGGCATTGCATGCGTGCTATATTTTGAAACAATAGCAGGGAAAATTTCTTACCCTTTAAATCA